TATTGGTTAGAATGAGAAAATTAAGAAAAGTAGATGTGTCAGAAATATTTGATCTGTAAGACATACCATCAGAATATAAGATTGATGTTATGAACAGATTTGGTACATAAATTATGAACACAAAACCTCAGAAAAGAGCTATCACAAAAATCAACAGAAAAAGATCATGTCCAAATTTTTAAAGAAGAAAAGATCCAAGACAAGAAATGATGGAGAACAAATGTTTGGGAAATAATAGGAGTGTATGCTAATTAAAAACAGACTTTTAACATCAAACCAGAAAGGAAAAGGAAAGATCTTTCAATCAAGAGAATTAACAAATGAAGCACAACTGTACAGCTAAGTTTGTTACAGTCATAGAGTGCTGTAAAACACTGAAACCAGCCATGAAAGCTGACTGGGTGACTTTGGTTCAATCATCAGGAGACTATGAATTCTAGTCCCACCTTAACTATGAAAGTCACCTGGGTGACTTTAGGCCAGTGACACTATCTCAGGCCAACTCACCTCACAGGGTTATTATTGTGGGGAAAATAGAAGGAGGAAGTTATGTTACATACAATAGCCACCTTAAGTTGTTCATAAATAAAGGTGGGATATAAAAATAAGATGAAGAGAAATAAAATATAATATATGATTTTTTTCTTGATTTTCCCTTTCCCTTTCAGACTTTCCTTTCTGTGAAGGACATTCCAATGAGTTAAGGAAGAGTGTTAACTCTTCTGAACATCTAGAAACAAGTAAAGTAATAACTAGCAGTCAGCACGGGTTTGTTAAAAACAGATCATGCCAAAACAAACTTATTTCATTTTTCAACACAGTGACTAAATTAGTAGACCAGCAAAAGACATTCAGCAAGGCATTCAACAAAGTAGACCACAACCTACTTCTTAGTAAGCTAGAAAAAAGTGGAATAGATAGCACCACCACTAAATGGACTCGCAACTGGCTGGCAAACCGTACTCAATGAGTAGTCCTTAATGGGTCTAAGTCTACATGGAGGGAAGTAAGCAGTGGGGTGCCACAAGGTTCCGTCTTAGGCCCAGTACTCTTCAATATCTTCATTAACGACTTAGATGAGGGAACAGAAGGGGAACTTGCCAAATTTGCAGAAGATACTAAGCTGGCAGGAATAGTTAACACCCAAGAAGATAGGCTCAAGATCCAGATGGATCTTGACAGACTAGAACACTGGGCCATATCTAACAAAATGAAATTCAATGTAGAGAAAAGTAAAGTCCTACACTTAGGCAAGAAAAACCAAAAGTACACATATAGACTGGGTGAAACCAGGCTCAATAGCAGTAACTGTGAGAGGGATCTTGGAGTCCTAGTGGACAATCAGCTAAATATGAGCCAGCAGTATGCAGCAGCAGGCAAAAAAGCTAATGCAATCCAAAGTTGTATTAACAGAGGGATACAATCAAGATCAAGGGAAGTACTAATACTATAAAGCCTTAGTAAGACCACACCTAGAGTACTGCATCCAGTTTTGGTCACCACATTATAAAAAAGATGTTGAGACTCTAGAAAAAGTACAGAGAAGAGCAACCAGGATGGTTAGGGGACTGGAGGCTACAACATACAACGAACGGTTGCAGGAACTGGGCTTGGCTAGTCTAGTAAAGAGAAGGACCAGGGGAGACATGATAGCGGTCTTCCAATATTTGAGGGGCTGCCACAGGGAGGAAGGGGTCAACCTATTTTCTAAAGTGCCTGTAGGTCAGACAAGGAATAATGGAAACTGAAGAAGGAGAGATTTAACCTGGAAATAAGGAGAAACTTTCTGACAGTGAGAACAGTCAACCAATGGAACAGCTTGCCTTCGGAAGTTGTGGGAGCGCCATCACTTGAGACTTTCAAGGAGAGATTGGACTGCCATTTGTCAGAAATAGTGTAGGGTCTCCCGCTTGGGCGGGGGGGTTGGACTAGATGACCTACAAGGTCTGTTCGAACGGTGATTATCTGTTATTATCTGAATACTGGAACAGTAGTTTGATGTGGTATTTAATTAAAAAAAAGTATTTGCAAGTTACTCTCTAGGAAGGGAGGACTGTACATTTTGGGATTCCACGTATAGTATTAGTTGTTTAACTGCATGTTTGATCTTCTCATATCCTAGAATCAATATCATTTCACTGCAAAGCTATCAAAATGCAATTTCTTGGCAAGTTATTAGCTAGAATTAAAAGGTTGAATTAGCATTAAGGAGGTCAATTCAACTTGGTCAAAGAATATCCTTCACCAGTATGGAAAGATGCGTAACCAGAGCTTCCTCAGTTTTAGAGACATTTATTTCCTGAAACAAAGCAAGTACCCTGAAATATATTTTGTAGGAATTTGGACTCTTCTAATGCAGCCATGTGACAATGAAGGCCTAATTGAACTCCATTCAATAAATAGGCATATGCAATGGTTGCAAACAGTTTTAACACAGCAGATATCAATTGTTACAGTAAAATCTGTTTGGAGAAACAGAATTGTTCAGAACTGGAAAAAGAACGAGATAAAAATGTATTATGTCTCCTCATGCCTATTTAACTTCTGCATGAAATATATTAAAAGCGTGGTAGGATTTGACGGGATGACAGCTGGAATCAAAATTAATACTAAGAATTAAAAGCACTTACAAAATTAACACTAATACTTTAAGTTATGCAGACATTTCCATTTCATTAGCTCAAATAATGAAGACTTAGAAAAGCTCATTATGAAAGTAAAAAATGGAAAATGAAAAATCTGGGTTAAGGTTAAATATTAAGAAAGCAAGGAAGTATCAGTCAGCATGCTTATTGAATTGACAAGCTACAGAGAAGTTAAAAGTGTAGATAGTTTTAATTTTCTGTAGTTAAAAATGGACTGTGTGCTGCAGGAAGAAAAAGAAGACTAATCCTAAAAAGGAAGAAAAGACTTTGCACTTAAGACAAAATAAAAAACAAAGGTCAGAATTCTTAAATCATTCCTCCCCCCGCCCATTGGTAAAGCTGCACATTGAGAAAAAAGTAGGAGAAAGGAGACAGATGTTACTAAATATCTCCAGATCCATAATTCAGTAAGAGTTTCACAGACAGCAAGAAGAACCAACCCATTAGTCAGGGGTGGGATTCTACCGGTTCGGCCTGGTTTGGGTAAACCGGTAGCTCCGAGGATCAGCTGGGAGCGAACAGGTTCGGTTTGCTCCAACGATCAGCTGTTGGGCTTGACTGCCGACCCGGGCTCTAGGCTGTGCTTAATATCTTGTTTTTCAGGCTCAGCTGATTCGTGCGGCACAGTGGATTGCTTTGTATCAGCTGTTTAACACAGAAGGATTGCTGGAGAAAGTCAGTAGCAAATGCTCTGCGCATGCGCAAAGTGCGCGCTCACTGAACCGGTTGTTACACTGGTTGAATCGCACCCCTGCCATTAGCCCCGAGCCAATTTCCTCACCATGATAATCAGCAAGTAGACATTCATAGGTATCGCAAGAGCTCTGACTGTGGGAGGGTATGTGCAAAAGGGAAAAACAAAACTACATGCCACAATTTCCTCTCTCTTTTGTTCCCTTGAAAGCTTAAGAAGTTATTCTCTTTCAATGGAAGGCAGTTACTGTATTTAAAAAAGGAGGCTTAACAGAATCTCAATAAGTGCCTGCAGTCTGCACTGGTGGCATTGGAATCAAAGTCAGTCAGAGCCTGCAGTCAGTCAGTCATACTAGAAGAAACCCATCCAATCAGCAGCTAACCCAGCTAAAGAGAAAAAGAGACAGTACAACTCAAGAAACGTAGAAGACAGACAGACAACCGGGGAAAAGAACCAGCCACACCAAGACATGCAAGGCTTCAAGAAGCTTGCCTTACAGAAGCAAAGGGAATTTAAAGAGGAATGGTGGCCATTTTGCAGGAAAGTGCCAAACCAGGCCAGGTCAATCTCGAGGAAATTAGATTGGCCAATTGCCCCAGAGGTCAAGACAGTTCACATAAAGCCAAAGTCAGAGAGTAAGAGCTAGAGATGAACAAGAGCCAGCACTACACTTTCCTGGTGATGTCAAGCAGCACCAGAGCAGTTCCAATGGTCACGTTCAGCTGAAGCAGGTGACAATGGAGACTTGTACTGCATTTATTTCTGTAAGCCGCCTGGGGTCACCATGAGTGAATTGGGCGGTCATATAAATTTTCTTAATAAATAAAGTGCCAAAGGAGAAGTAGTTAGTTGTATGTAGGATTGGGACTAGAATGGATGGATAAACAGATAGATAGATAGCCTGAAGCTAGTACAGATAGACAGGTAGGGCTTAGGAAGAAAAGTCAAATAGAAGTTACAGTGGAGATAAAGCAAACAGAATATAATTTGGAAGATTAAAATAGCTTTCAGAAATAAAAAAAATGTCAGATAGAGACAATGGCTATAAATTAGAAAGCAATCTTTCTGCTTTTGTAATGAAAAATTACATTTTAAAATAATAAAACCTATTCCAAATGAAACTGGTGAATACACACCTTGTTTAAAATCTGTACCAAGCCTGAACTGTGACATAAAAGGACTAGAGAAAAAAAGGAGAAACAACTGAATAACAGAATAATAGAGTTGGAAGGGACCGTGAAGGTCTTCTAATCCAACACAATAAGGTAGACTCCCTAAATTATGTCAACAGTTCAATGGACATTTCCAAAAAAAGACTGTCACCAATTGGTTACCTCCAAATGGATTGGTAAACTGGGACTAGATTATTGCTGCATTCTAGACACTCCTACTTCCACTAACAAATTCCCACCAATTTCCAAGTTCTGGAAGTTGATGTCCAACAGTCCAGAGACCACCAGAGTAGGAAAAGCTGGTAAATGAATCTTGCAGGACAGCCTAGGTCAGGTCAAAAATTGCCTTTCCCCCCACTTTGTGCCTATTTCAGAATACTGGGCTTGGAAATTTAATTAATTAATTAACTAAAACATTTGTGGGGCAGGTTTTTCTGGGCCAAGTTTTAAAATTATTGTGGAAGAAAATGAATGCGCTACTGCAATAACCTAAATCACAAAAAGCTGCTTACCAGACATTGCAGTGAGATCAGCACTTTGGCTGAACACTTCTGTAATTCCAACCCCTTTCAAAGCATCTTTCAGATCAATTTCCTGTTCTATTGTGAACCTAGAGGGAGAGAGAAAAGAATGAAAGTCTTCAATCCCTTTGCTCTAAAAAAGAAGTAAAGATGATGCAAATTGTTGCTAGAAAAACAGGGGGGGGGAGGGGAGGAAAGAATATAATATAATAACTGCCTACAAGGCATTCAGGTAGCTCAGCAGGAGAAAACACATTACAAAGAGAGAGAGAGAGAGACTCAGAGAGACAATGCATTCAACTGACATTCATCACTAGCTTATTCCTGGTTATTGTCTTGTTTGCAGTAATACCTTGAGACTAATTGTTTTGCACTCATACAACATCACCCTTGCAAAGGACTTTGAGTCAATAGAAATTTGGGGAGGGGAGCCTGTGTGTACAAAGCAAAATGAAATGCAGTTAGTTTTAAATAGCATCATGAACCTGCACTATAACAGAACATGGGGAAAAATATAACAAAGCAGTTACAAGCAGAACAATGAAACAGAGAAGATAAATAAACAAGAGCTTTGTTTTTAAAAACTGCATTACTACTGTATGCAGCAAACAGCCAAGCTGGGCACAATCTCTTGCTGTTTTCAACTCCTGAACTTCAAGGAAGGAAAGAAGGAAGGAAGGAAGGGAGGGAAGGAAGGAAGGGAGGGAGGGAGGGAGGGAGGGAGGGAAGGAAGGAAGGAAGGAAGGAAGACAATTGGTTTGCAAACTAAGTTTAATGTACCAAGCATTCTGAAACTGACTGCTAACTAACCGTAAATTTGAAACAATGTCCATCACCCAGAATATGGTTTCAGAACTGAATCTTGGCTGCTCTCAGGGAATTCTCAGAGAATTCAAAATAGCAAGAATGTTCTATTGCAACAAAATAAAAAACAGTAACATTTGAATGTTCTATTAATAGCAATTGTTTATGTGCTCCTAATTCCCTTGTTTTCCATATCAAAGCAGCAAGAGTAGATGGGGTGACAATCCATGGTAACCACTACCAACCAGCCAACTTTGCAGAAAGATTGGCAAAGGAGATGTTTCATTCCCTTCCCCCAAAAGCTACATAATATTTTTACATCTACATACAAACAAAAGCTCATTCACTTAATACTCAGCAAACCAACCACAGCAAACAAACTCTTTCATTTCAGGCAGTCAAACAGAAATTCATCAGCTCCATAGCACCAGTTGAGTTGCAAGCTTCTGACACTACTCTTGGTCTTCCCAGGTTCTTATTAATAGCAGTGTTGAATCCAGAAAGTTTGCTTCTCTTGTTCTTGGTATTCTACCCCCAAATTATCTTGTGTAGTCTTTCAAAGAAAGCTGGCCAGGACATAACATGTCTCAGTGGTATTGTGATGACCCAGGGTGGGATACAAAACAAACACAGTCACAGAAAACAGGTGAAGTCCCTTTTATTCCTTCACTTTGTTTCCAAGCTCTGAATAAAACTCCCACACAAACAGTTACAAGAAGAAGGGGAAAAGCAATACAAACCAGGCAAGCTGGAGGACGTCCACAGATAACACACACTAGGAAGGACGCCAAACTCAGAGAGGAACCATAAACTAGAGATATTTCCACGCTTTGTTTCCAGTGCTCGCCCGTACGCATGTCCATCCTCTTATTCAGTTGTCACAGCTGCAGCCCATGAAGAGTATCAAGGCCCTCTCTTCCCGAGTAGACCATGTCTCTCCCTTATCCTTTCCTCCCTGCGTGCCTTAGGATGGATAAGAGATGGGCCTGGGTCCTCCTCTGATTGCTCAGCCGGCCTCTGCCCTTCCCCAGCCTCCTCCACAACCTCCGGAGCTACACTTCCACTCCCTGTCGGCTGTTCCTCCTCTCCCTCAAGTCAGCCTCCACCAGGGCCATGACAGGTATAGGACAACACTTCATTCAAGTCCCCCAGCAGTACAAAATATTTAAAAGGGATGAATTTAGCATTTCAACAGGATTTGAGGAATTACACGCTCATTTCTGCTTTAGGAATCCAGATTTCAGCTAGTCTGCTTTCCCCATTCTAAATTTGCTCATAATAGCAGCACTGATAGAACTACACAATGAGGCATGCATCCTATTTCTATAATTTTAATGTCATTACTAGTAACATGTTATTCTAATATATGTTTGCATAAGTTGGTGCTCTTGGAGAGACTAAGGGGATTACATGCACAAATAAATGTATGGAAATTAGGTAACTCTCAGTTGCACTAGGTAGACTAAACTAAGAAATTAATTCCACAGGAAGGTTAACATCACTTTTATTGAAATTGGCTAGCACAGAATATTGAAAGCCCAATTGTGTTGTGTGTCTTCCCCTTCTTATAATAAATTAAGTGAACTGGGGAAGTGTCTGTTTGCAGTACTTTAGGTAGATAGATAGATAGATAGATAGATAGATAGATAGATAGATAGATAGATAGA